AGGAATCTGGAGCAGCACTGGCACAATCTGGAAGAGCGAATACTCTGGAGCAAGAGTTAAATCTGCCAGTAGCTTGAATTCAGGCATCCCTGAGAGATTTGCTGATCTTTTCTGCATTGTTTAATTTCTTGCAGAGGTGTAAGTAGCCTGACAATGACAGCCAAGCTGAAATCAGGGCTGATTAATTCTGCACCCAGAACACTGAAAGCAGAAATTGAGTAAATGTGATCAGAGGAGGAGGAGAAGTTGCAAAACATTCTAGTTCAGCATTTCGCCCTCAATTTCCACTGGCATAAAGATCTGCCTGCAACACACCAAGGAACTGACATAAAATTCAGAACACATGAATTATTCAAATTCCTTTAACAAAATTGAGTGGGGTTTTCTTCTGATTATGGGAAAAAGCCTAAAGAAGATAAAAAGCCTAAAGCCTAAACACAACTCAGGAGCCATCAGCTTTGCTTTAGGTGGAATTTTTCTGAAGACTGGTTGTGAAGAAAACTAAGGTGTAATCATTATCCAAAATCTCATTACCATGACCAGTTTCTTGATACTCAAATGGGGAGGGGTTGGAAGAGATGGCCAGAACAAGGAAAGCAAGAGGACTACAGAGATACTGTCCCGTCCCTATCTCTCCTCTTCTACTTTACTTAAGGTGATACTATCATTTTTTGTATGAATGTGCTTTTAATCTTAAATAATCCTATATTGCAGAAGTGGCAGATTTAAGCACCAATTTCATTTTTTTCCACAGCAAATTTACTCTGTAACTTCTAGGAATTTCAGTTGTTCAGGATATTGCTCTCTCTCTTTGTTTTATCATTTCACTTTTAAGCCAGACTTAAGTCATTAAGTCATTCCACTTCAGCCCTAACACTGACTCAAGTCTATGAGCTTGATAAAGGGAGCTGAAATGATCCCTTTCAAAAAGTGTTTTTTAAGTTGTTTCCTAGAACTCCCTAAGTAGTGATTTAATTATTGAAAATTGAGTGCTCAACTCTTAATCCCTTAGTTTCTTTCATTTCTAGACAGAGTCAATGCTTTTCTTTACCTCTAGCAACATTTTCCAGGCTTGTTAAAACACTGCTTAAAACAATACTAAATACACTCTCAGAAGTCTATAAATGAGACAGACACACAGTTCTCAAACTTTGCTGTTTATATGAAACCCCTCCTTTTTTTTTTTCTTCTAGGGTCAATGAAAACTATTATTTTTCCCCAAAAACAATAGTTTAAAGTGTACTTTAATGCTTGTTTTACACATATAAGCGTGGCATTTTGCAAAAGGAAACAGGAGGGAAACACTCATCTGTTTAACAATGTATTGGCAATATCTAGAATCTACCTAGTTGTTTTGCAGGGAGAATGGCACAACAGTCACAGCAATTAATGACTAAGAATTAAGCTGGATAACTAGCAATGGTATTTGTT